TAATCAGCCAGGGTGTATTTATGGATCTACAATGAACAAACTGGAACAGTAGTAAGGGAAATAATCTCATGTTACATTAGTGTACAGGCTATAATTTACACACACACACACACACACACACACACACACACACACAATTCGTGGGACCTGTGTGAGTCTCAGGTATCTCCCTTGCTTCGAGGCTAGTCTGTAAGTGAAAGCTTCCTTTGCTGTGGAGCAGAATACCTAAACCTGACGCTCTTCACTGGACATGTATCTTTGAAGGGCCAGACTTCAAGAAAGCAGGAAACTTTTCTTTCTAGAGTGAAAATGAATAAAGGAATGAATAAAATACATTTTAGGAAGCTATGTTTTTCATTATTTTTCAAGATTGCAGTGGCCAGCATGGAGGTGTGGAGGACAGGGTTTGCCGACACGGAACAGGGTGGGGTGTGGAGGCTTCTAGAGACTGGGCCCACGGCTCTCTTCACAGATTGGTTCCTGAATGGAGGAAGATGGGTTTTCCAAATCGATCCCTGAGGTCATTGAGGTTTATATGCCAAATCATTCATTCATTCAGCAAATGTTTACTGAGTGCGTACTATGCGTCAGATACTGCTGGTTGGTGGAGACACAGGAGTAGCTGAAATGACAATATTCTTGCCCTTGTAGAGCCTAGGTGCTAATCTGGTGTATTTTTGGGTCACTGATATCTTTAGGAATGTTTGAAAATGATGGACCCTTTTCCCTGAAAATCAAGCAATCTCTTCAGGCATACACACGCACACGCACACACACACACACACACACACACACACACACACAGAGGTGCGTGCAGCTGCTGTGGGGTGGGGGAGATGCACACTCACAGAGTTTTGTATTCCATCTCCCTGAGTTCAGAAGACTTAAAACTCAAGTTCTCCAAGGGAAGGACACCCCCGCCTCCCTCCTGCCCCTCAGTCTGTCTGCTGCTTTTGCCTTCTGCTCAGAACCTTGTGATGTCCTGGATAAGGCTTCCCTGTGATTTTCTTTTCAGATTTAATCACATGATAAAGCAGTAAACCTTGGGGAAAAGAGCCCAAGGGAGCTCAGCAGGCTCGGGACAGCAGCCACCTTGCCCCATGGCTTTGAGGAAGTCACTTCTCCCTAAGTCTGTCTTTTCACATCTGAGTAATGGCAAGCTTTGGGTTAGATTAATTTTCAGGTGATTTGGTGGTGGTAGGTTACGTGGGACAGGCTTTGGAGGCAGACAGAAAATATCTGGGGGTATATTACATTACCCCTAGATACATCACTCATTAGCTGGGCAAAGTACTTAATTAATCTGAGCCTTATTTCTCATATATGAGATAAAAAATACTGCATAACTCATGGAATGGTTTTGAAAATTAAGTGAGCTAATGTATGTAAATTGCCTAGGACAAAAGTGGTAGCTGTTATCAACCATGTCACATCTATATTGTCTTTCAGGGTAATTAAATCAACAAATGAAATATTTATTGAGCACCTCCTATGTGCCTGTCGTAGTATACTTCTATGATTATTCTTCTGTGAAGCTAACCCAGCCACCAGGCAGTGGTATAGGACCACAGTGAAGAAATTCACTTTGTATTGAACAGGTCTGGTTTAATTTCCTGGTTCTATCAGGAGCCACCTGGGTGACCCTAAGCAATCCAATCTTCATTCAGTTTTCATTTCTGAAAAATGTGGGTAATGATATCACGTAGCCCAGTTATAATAAAGGAGCTAGGCTGTTGGATTTAGACACGATTGTGCAAGTAAAGCTACTTAGCACAATGCCTGGCACAAAGAGCACTCTTGATTTTTGTTAGGCTGCTTCAATATTAGTATTATTATTATTTATTAATTAGCTTAACCTCCTCCCCCCTCTCCACCCAGGGCTAGGTTGTATCTAAAGAAGATTTCCCCTAGATTTTATTCAAGTTGAGATGATGGTGGCATCTCACTTATTTAGACTCAAATAGTATAATTTAAGACCCTTCACTGAAAACTGGCCTTTACTTAGAGGTTGCTTGGAAAATATTTACTGGCCCTGCAAATGGTGAAGGTTACTACTAAATAATTCACTTTGAATGGTAATTCTTCTTTATATGTTTTTATTTAGTACCCCAACCCCATGGATAAAAATGTCATCTCTGTAAAAATTGTGGAGGAAAAGAGAGGTAAGTTCTCTGATTATGCCCTGATTTCAGTGATAATCAATAAGTGATACTGATTTTTGTAAAGAGGTGTGTGTGTGTGGCCTATTAGGTTTTAAGAAGCACCAGCATTTATAGTAGTAAAATCCTGCCTCATATACTCTTGTCACTTTCTAAATTAATAATGGATGACAACACTGAACTACATATAATTGTAACAGCCAATATTTTTGAGCACTTATGTGTGCCAGTGTTGTTAACTCATTTAATGTTCAGAACAATGTATGAAATAGGTATTAGATTACTCCTACTTAATGAATGAAGAACTGAGGTACAGAGAGGTTAAGTAACTTGCCCAAGGTCACTTGGCGATATTTCTATAGTATATTCATGTATCATTTTGGAGATGGCAAAATAGATGTGAGTTAATAGCATGTATGTGGGATATGACCACAGTGCAATTAGATTAAAGGATCGTAACTGTCCTTGGCAATGTGATTCTGCGTTGACAAGAGCAGGGGTTGACAAACTATGGCTCTTGCTACCTGTTTTGGAAATAAATGTTACTTCCTAGCTACACCCATTTATTACCTATGGCTGCTTCCTCACTGCAATGGCAGAGTTGAGTCGTTGCGACAGAGAGTTGAAGACCCACAAAACCTAAATTATTTATCATCTAATCCTTTACTAAGGATGTTTACTGAACTCTGAGCTAGAGCGTAGGAGTCTCTACTGTTCTCTCTCATCCCCATCTCCAGCAGAAGCACTGTCTATGTTTGAACTTGAAAACTGGGCGATACAGGAAACTATGACAATGGACAGAATCAGTGTCCAAACCTTTGGAGACGCTCAGGCCCAGGCCCAAAGTTCTCTTCAGCCTTCTTAGAAATCATGAGATGCTGGTGTCTATTACGTGACTCTGAAGCCCTCTCTGTGCTTGGTAAACATAAATCTGTCTTTTGCTTGTGTGTGTGTTTTCTGTACTTCTGTAACTATTAATATACAAATATATTTTAAAAAACATTTTCTCACTCAGCGTGGGAGAAACTTGTTATTTGGGATCAGAAAAATCTGATTTCAAGTCCTGATTTTGTTACTACCTTCATGACCTAACTTTTTGGAGACTCAATTTCTTCATCTGTCAAATGGGAAAATGATCTTATTTTTAGGTTGTTGTGAAGATCAAATGAGACAACACTGTGCATATTCTAAATAGGAATGTTAATTATAATCTCTATCATTATCAGGGGCATCTTTGCCTCTGGGAGTAGCTAACCCATTTTAGGTATGTGTGTTGCAAACATTTGACTAGAAGGCCAAAGGGAGTGACAACGGGCAGAGGGTCTCGTGCCCTATCAACAGCTTCTGGGCGGTCGGGGTGTTTGCGCCAGGGGTTGGGACTACCATAGCCAGAGCTTTGAAGAACCCTGCAGTGGCGTGGCTGAGTCACAGTAGTTCGCAGAGCAAATGTTTGTCCTTCACAAAGTTTATCCTTTTCTCTGCCCCTGTCTCCCTTTTTCTTAACTCACATTTATTGTGTTTTTTATATCCCTGGTTCAATTCTGGAAACATTGCTCCAAAACAGAATGGTTCCAGTTACAGGAGGTTGACTTCCTTATGCAAGAAGAATATGGCTTATATAATTAATTATAGGCTTAAATTTTATAGCCAGAAATCTGTGCTTGAAAGTTTGGTACTGAAGGTGGCAGAATCAGATTCTCCCTCTTTTTGTTAAAACTCTCTGTTTTTGGAGTTGAGCAGGAAGCACTTTGGCCATTGTCATTAGAGCATTGACATTGATTAGTCCGGAGCGATGAACAATTTGTTATTCTTCTATGCTTGATTTTAGAATGTGTGTTGTGAGTTGCTGTTTTATTCTTATTCCTTGATTGCCGGTAAGGAATATCTGTGATTGGCCTAGAAAGCGGTCAGAGAAACTTGAATTTTGAGTTAAACATTTTCTCTAGGAATTCTACATATAGGAAGTTGAGATTGACTTTAAAAGTTTTATTGACATTAAGAAAAGAATACATTTCCTTAAATTTTTTTGAGTGTAAAATTTTTCTTTTTTTAGATGAATCAACAGGGGTTATCTATAGAAAGAGGATTGCAATCTGTCAGAATGTGGTTCCAGAAATTTTAAGGAAGGTAAGTTTGTTTTAAAATTTAATTAGAATTAGTGAACATTGAGTCATTTTTAATAGTTATGGAAAGAGACAGCGTTTTCTGATGTAGAGGAGTGATAGAACTTTCCTACTTCTTACCTCATAGCCCTTCATAGGGAGAGAACTCTTTCATATCCAACCTCGGTTTTGGCAGATGCCACTGGAGATACTTTTCCTCTCTCTGTTGTGAAGGGCTCTTAACGGACATAGAGATGTTCTACAATTTTTTAAAAGATACTTTTGGCATTTTGCATGAAGTGACTATCTTTTCTAATCTGTTCATGGTTAGAAATGACCCTTAG